GTACTATACAGCATTCTCTATTGCAAGGTATCTCGCATGTAGCTAACAAAGACCGTATGAGCACAAACAAGTTTAGCTGCCTCCATTCACCGACCTCAAAAGTCACATCAACGCCTCTCGCGCTAAATTTCATCCCGAAAGCTGCCGCGTATCTCATAATGGAATTCTGAGATGACGGCGTATGATAACTCGAACACCCAGCTTGTGTTACCATTTGCCGGCATGGGCAATCCGACTTGCCACCAGCAGGCCAACATAATTTGCTTTCATTTCTCTATGAAATACACAAGCTGCTTGTTTGTACATTTACTTTGGCCAATGCACGGGGCCTCCGAAGAGTTGCACTCTGCCGCTCTTATCTGTTTAATTATTACAAAGCCATGCGGCAGTGGGGTGCTTTCCTGTAGCCGCTGGTGCTTCAAGACCTAAACATCACAGACAGCACCGGACTTCATATGTTAAGCAACGGCTCCGTTTGCGGTCTGCCGTACTGTCCATGCGGCATGCACCCGGATGTCGATGTGGCATGCACCCAGGATGGATGCAGGCGATGCTCACGAATCCGCCGGTGCCTGTGCGACGGAATAGTCCCGAAATCGCTCGAAATATATACATTTCTGACACAAACCACCATGTTGACATTACCAATCAATTGTCACACTTGCCACCCTTGCTACCGGCCTGTACGGATGCTGAGGGGCCCCGCCCTTTTTCCGGCTTCCTTGAAGCCGACACCCAATCTTGTCAGCAGTACCGACGGACGCTGGCTACTTTGTCGCTGGCGTTATCCGAGGCCACTCTGCAATCGGCATCGTAAGCATCAACAACGCAGTGCTTGACGACCTACTAGCTGCACACCAAGGTCAGTACGAGAACCGGAAAGACCGTGCGGCACTCATTTTCAGCCGTAACCCACGCTGCCCTTCCTACAAAATTAATATAACGCTTGGATCGCTATATTCACTACATTCTCTTCGTTGCAAATCCCGATACTGGTGTTTCAACTCAGAACGTTTGCATGTCACAAAAAATGTTATACGATAACGTACCACATACCGCAATAATAATGCCGGAAACTTTGGGTGCTCGTCCTCTTTAAGGGAACCAAAGGGGAACCGAAGGTGAACTAAAGGGGTTTTGAACCTATGACACCTTATATAGATATCTGATAATTACCAACACAATTTTTATATAATATACTTAGACTCGCTTCATGTAAACCTAAACCAATTCCTTTCAGAAAGTAAACTTCCGTACTACTGCACATAACCATACCCATACGAACACATTTAATTCGTAGGAGAAGGCGCAGTAGGATCGGAGGTGGAGTTTTCAGCCGTAGCCGACGCTGCCCTTCCTACTAAATTGGTAGGACGCTTCGGATCCCTGCCCTCATGGCAACTCAAGACTACCGACAGCACGACAGTAACCTGCAGAGCAGCTACTGAATTTCCCAAAATTATGGCAGCAACAATTCGCTACCCGGCAATCAATCCCAGCCGAAACGAACCAGCCGCAGATGAGAAATGGCCAGCCGATGGCAACGCACTTCTAGTCCTCCCCTATGGTGACGCCCGTCATACAGCGGGCCCCACCAAATTCACCACAAAAATTGCCTGCATCTCAGAGCAGGCAACCGCCGCGTATGATATGGAAGTAGCGATGATGGCCATGCCCACGCCTTACGTCCAACTCTGGAAACAGGCAGCGCAGCAGCGGCAACCACTCTATTTAATAAACGGCCGAATCACACAAAAAGACAAGTGGCAGCCAGTCGTATGGCTCGGTGGAGTCTTGGTTACAGCGGCATATCCCAGCAAGGTCGTACGTCGCTGGGTAGACCTGGCGTCGGCAGCAATCGACGATCAGCAACTGCCGCAATCAGTAACTACAACAGCCAGCGCAGGCCCGTCTACCTACACCCATCCCGTATTGGCATGGGAACGCCGGAACGCTACAGCCGTGGTACTACCTGCCGACGGTACACACAAAGACATGCGACTACAACCTAACCTGACGTTAGAAGTTAGTGTAGACCAACAGCCGGTAATCCCCCTCGTATTGCATCGAGGAGACAATACCGCCACGTATCCAGTCTGCGCGTCCGAATTAGCTGTACTACAGCAACTACCAGGTTTCCAGGACTTCTTCGCGGACCAGGACTTCGCGACGACGGAGAGTCGACAACAATACGTCACAGAAGAACAGTGGACACTCCACTGCGACGTAAAGACGACAACACACGGACGCACCACCTTCGTGACGGACATCCGCCCCATCTGAACGACTTCAATCACGCCTTCCCGCGGCGCAAAACCGGGCGTGCTATCCCAGCACGACAAACCATCTCTAGGCATGCCCAGTACCGGGTAGCAGGTTCGAATCCTGCGATGGTTTTCACACACGACCTAAATCACAACTAAACAAACACGACAAACCATCCCTACCCACGCCCCGTCCCTGACTGTACGACAGGTTCGACTCCTACGTATTGCTGCAACTCCTTTCTTTCGTATGCTGGACAGCAGGTCCGACTCCTACGTTTTACTTCAACTCCTTTCCTTCTTTGGCTGGACTCCTACATATATAATATAAACCTATAAAACTATAAAACTATAGGGATATAGAACTATAGGGATATAGAACTATAGAACTATAGAACTATGGAACTATAGAACTATAGAACTATAGAACTATAGAACTATAGAACTATAGAACTATAGAACTATAGAACTATAGAACTATAGAACTATAGAACTATAGAACTATAGAACTATAGAACTATAGAACTATAGAACTATAGAACTATAGAACTATAGACCTGTAGACCTATAGAACTACAAAACTACACAACTATATAACTACAAAAGGGGTGTGTTACCCTTCTTCCCATAAAGGGGAACTATACTTCCAGGTATATGCCAAGCATATGCCATTTGCAATCACATGCGATTTGCAAGCAAATGCATATGCATATGCAATCTGCAAGCATATGCAATCTGCAAGCAAATGCGATCTGCAAGCATATGCGATCTGCGCCATATATGCAATCTGCAAGCATATGCGATCTACAAGCATATGCAATATGCAAGCATATGCGATCTGCAAGCATTTGGAATATGCAAGCATGCGCAATATGCAAGCATGCGCAATATGCAAGGATATTGCATATGCAAGCATGGACAATATGCAATATGTAAGGATATTGCATATGCAAGCATTTGCAATACGCAAGCATTTACAATCCGGACGCACCCGAACGTCCAGATGCACCCAAACGTATCCGGACTCGGACCCGGACGAGAGCTACAGCCCCCTCGGGACCGAAGGGACCGCGCCTCGTCCGGTTGTCCGGAGCGATTTGGAAATTCCGGGTCGGGAGCGTGCCGTACGCGCTTAAGACCGCGCCGTAAAGAACGGAAGGTCGCCGGTTCGATCCCTACCGCGATTATGTTTTATGTTTCATATATGTGCATACATGCATATATGTTTATGCGATATGCAATATGCAGCGATATGCAGCGATATGCGATATGCAGCGATATGCAATTTGCGATATGCGATATGCGGCATGTGATATGCGATATGCCATATGCAGCGATATGGGATATGCGATATGCGATATGCAATATGCAATATGCAATATGCGATATGCAATATGCGATATGCGATATGCGATATGCGATATGCAATATGCAATATGCGATATGCAATATGCAATATGCGATATGCAATATGCAATATGCGATATGCAATATGCAATATGCGATGTGCAATATACGATATGCGATATGTTATACATATGCGCATGCATCTGCATTATGCAAGCATACACAGTCTGCAAGCATGTGCCATATGCGATCTGCAAGCATATGCGATCTGCAAGCATATGCCATATGCGATCTGCAAGCATATGCCATATGCGATCTGCAAGCATATGCGATCTGCAAGCATCTGCCAAATGCAAGCATTTGCGATCTGCAAGCATATGCGATCTGCAAGCATATGCGATATGCAAGCATATGCGATATGCAAGCATATGCGATATGCAAGCATATGCGATATGCGATCTGCAAGCATATGCGTTATACGGTCTGCAAGCATAGGCGATCTGCAATCTGCAAGCATATGCGATATGCTATGCTATGCTATGCTATGCTATGCTGCGCTATGCTATGCTATGCTATGCTGCGCTGTGTTATGCTATGCTGCGCTGTGTTATGCTATGCTGCGCTATGCTATGCTATGCTGCGCTATGTTATGCTATGCTATGCTATGCTGCGCTATGCTATGCTATGCTATGCTA